GCGTCCCCTGATCCCGACGGGCTGAAAGGTGGCTGTTGGCTAACGGATGACCCACAGTCACTGAGATGCTCAGACTAGGGGGAGAATGCCCTGGGAGATTTCAGAGGAGTTAGCGTTGAGTGCTGGTCTCGGGCGGATGTTTTAGGAGCTCGGGATCAGTTGGTAGCAATAATCTGTAAGAAAATTTTTCCCGTGTCAACACGCCGGGATAATTCTCAAACTAGTCTGGCTGCCGCCTCTATCGTTCACGATTGGGCGCCAGCCAGGTTTTTCTGGAAAACCGGACGGAAAACCAGCCGCGAAGGACTATCGTCAACTCCGCGGACTTTCGGCGGCAGGTCTCACAATGCCGAGCCAGCATCAGCATGACACGGTAGAGTGGGCGAGGTTCACCAACGTACGAAGAATTTCAATTACTAACTTCTGCCGCACTTACGGCGTCGTCAGCGATATCTTTCGGGGGACGTATTCTCCAAACTCTCGTGGAGGAATGTGACCATCCCTCACACGTGGTACTCTCTCCTCTGGGGTGGCTCCACAAGACAAGACGCAGATTACCTGCGAATCCTTCTCACCCCGCAGGGCACCGAACTTCTCGAGGCAGATGCGACGCAGGTAACGTCCACCCTAACTCGAGAGCTCGATAAAAGCAATCTCATCGCGAGTCAAAACTAGATGCACTTCCCAAGGAGGCGCGTGCGACTGGAACTACGGGAAACGCCTTGCGTCCCAGCACTTAGTCCACCCCAACACCATGGGTTTCGCCCTAGAGATGGATCTCTGTAGCCTTAGACTCTCGTCCGTAGCCTCAAAATAATCCATTTCACTGATCGGGGACGCATAACCGTCCCCTTCTCTCGCTATTCCAAGATTCCTTAGAAGCACATACCCCTTGTAATCCCGGCAGGGATCATTGCCACCAACTGATCCCGAGCTCCTAAAACATGTGCTCGATACCAGCACTCAACGCGAACTGTTCTGAAATCTCCTAGGGGCTTCTCCCCCTAGTCTGGGGATCTCAGCGACTGTGGATCATCCGTTACCCCACAGCCACCAATTAACTCGACGGGATCCCGGGGGCGCTAGACCTTTCACCTAGCCGTTGGGCCCTGGTCTAAGTCGACGGCGCCGTTCAGAACCACCCAGTTGCGATGCCTGTACGTTGGCCCTGGACTCCCTAAGACAGCTGAGTGGATTTCCGAATAGCGAAACAGCTATCGCCAGCGTCATCATAGTGTTCCGAAACACGGTCTCACCCTTCACCGTTTCTTCCCACTATGTGATTGGTCAAATTCACCTTCGGAGCGGCCTGATTGGCGGTCGTCCGATGTTCTACTCATCTTTTGCTCGGCTATTTCAGCCGGCGTTAGATGTCGTTCCTTTGGCCTAGTGACTTTTCTAGGGTTTTCTCTAGTAACGAGAAAAATCTCGTTACAAATCCCTGCCGGGTTCATGAGCGGTCCGTGGTTCCAAGGAATCTTGGAATAGCGAGCGACGGCGACGCTTATGCGTCCCCGATCCGTGAAATGGATTACTTTGAGGCTGCGGACGAGCGTCCGCGGCTACAGAGATCCATCTCTAGGGAGAAACTCATGGTGTTGGGGTGGACTAAGGGCCGGGACGCAAGGCGCCTCCATGGGAAGTAACTCTGGTTTTGGCTGGCGATGAGGTCGCTATTACCGAGCTCTCGAGTTGGGGTGGACGTTAGGTGGGTGAGAATGGTCTCCAGATGCCTGCGGCGCACGTGCCTCGAGGAGGTGATATGTGTCTTTTTTGGGGTTGAGCCACCCCAGAGGACAGAGGACAACGTGCGAGGGATGGCCACATCCCTCCGCGAGAGTTTTGAGAAACACGTCCCCCGAAAGATACCGATGACGACGCCGTAAGCGCGGCGGAAGTTAATGGTTAGACTGTAACGTGACATTTTCCCGGTGAATGGGAAATGCCCATTACCTTCGCCCTACTTCCCCTGAGCCTAACAAAACCTGCTAAAATTTAACCTTATGGGCGCCAGGTAATTTTTAACCGGAATTACCAAACCGGAAAAAGTTCTTAATCCTAAACTTAACTAACCTCGAAATTCATTGTATCGAAAATCGTACCTCGAAATCCTAAAATCTGAACTCAAACTTAGTCTCTAAAATCCAAAAAGGGAACCTGAAGGGAACGGAAAGGATAATTAGGCTTTTGGGGAAAGGTGACGGTCCTCGGGTCGCTCAGTATGCCTGTTGTGGAGAGAGGGGTGGATTGTAGATGGGAACAAGGTCATGGCAAAATCGGGAAAGATATCCAGAAAAGAAAACGGGAGGCGAGAAAGGAATTAATGCAACAAAACATTGTCCTTACGTGTTCCGCTATTCATGTAAAAATTCGGTAGAATAATAATAAATGATAAACGATTTGATCAGGCTAATCTGCTTCCAAATTTTCTTAACAATGTCTAGCTTTTTCTCAATACCAGAACTTCAGCAAAATCCCCAAGTATAATTTCAATTATCCTCTTAACTCGTCGCGAACATAAATTATTTAGCAATTACGAATATATCGCTAAACGCCCCATACTAGTATCCAAATTAATTACCAAATTAATTAATTAATTTCA